AAGAGCCAGAGCTCTGGCTGATTCTACAGAGCGATGTCTCAGCTAAGGCACAGGAATGTCAGGAGTTTTGCTTAGGAGGATAGGTGAAGCTGATATATCTGCAAGATAGTGTCACTGCTTGGTATCTGCTCAGAGGTGAAGTATGGGGCAGCAAGGGGATGGGTGACAACAGCAGCACTGGGAAGGTCTCTAGCTTGCTTTATACAACCTGGGAATGGCTGTGCCTCCAGAAACCCTGCACTGAAGAACCAATGTCAGTAAAACTTCAGCTCAATAAGCAGTGTTGTATGGAGCGCCTAAAACAGGGTCTCAAGCCCTACAGGCAGAGGTGATCTACTTGCCACAGTGCTTAGGCTTCAGCGTACTCGGCAAGGATGCTCTCTTGCTTCCAAGAACTGGCTTCCCCATGCTTCACCTGCATGGCAATGTCAGCCATTGTTTCACTGCCCATAGTATGTGTCTGTCTTCTGTTACTGCTCCTGGCAGCTGTTAGGGCTTGGCGGGCCCTGTGAATGTTTTGATTCTCCAGGCTCAAACTTGCAGGCAGCCATCATAATAACCAGTTTGTGTCCAGGCACAAAGAGAGCCAGAAGGCTAACAAATAACATTTAAGTCAGAAAGAACCACCATGTCCCTTAACTGAAATAGGAGCTTTGTCCTTCCTATGAATGGCATGTTTGACAGGAGAGATTACTTGTTACATGGCTGCCCTAAACTGCTATCTTTCAGTATTACGTTGCTGCCAACAGCAAACCATTGCATCATTGCAGATCTGTTTTCTCAATCTTCGGCCTAATGTAATAAAGTTCATGTTCCTCCTCAGGTAACCGCTTCCCACATGCTTCCTTTTCCCTGGTTATCTTGCTCTTTCACTGTCAGCTTCTGCCTCCTGGGAGAGGGGGCTGCGTTTCATGACACAACTCACTGTTCAAGCAAGGTACTGCTTTCCAGGTGAAGTGTTTCTTTACTGGAAAATGCAGCTTCAGGTTAAAAAAAGAAATCTAAAAAAAGTTCAGATTCACAAACTGTTGCTCTTCCCCTCCAGAAAAAATGTCTGTGGAAAGAGAATAACAGATCTCCTGATGCCTCTGTCTGCACCAGCCCTGCACCAGAGCACAGCTCTCGCACTGCTCTCAGCATCTCCTCTGCCTTGGATGCGCACACGCACGGCCTGACTCACCTTGTTGTTGACAAAGTCCTTGGACTTGAAAGCATTCAACTCCAAGAAGTATCTGAGCAGGGAGAGGTTCCCATCCTGCACTGTATAGTGAAGAACTGTCTTGTTGCTTTTCACATCCTATATAGAAACAGAAAACAACAACAACAAAAAGAAGAGTTCTGCAGAGCAACCTGAAGATATTACATAAATCTATCAAAGTCCAGGCAAGCTCTACAGCTCACATGGAGCACATCCTTCTCTCCAGTGGCCCTCATACTGTCCAGTATCTGCTTCAAGCTGCAAGAAAGTAACTCTAAAGGCAGCAACTAACTCTGCAATCAGTCACTCGTAAGTAAAACTGGCTTGGTCCTTCTGTCAGCAGTTCGTTCCTTCTCCCCTTCTACAGTTTGAGCATAGCACAAGCATCAGGCAGGGCAAGGGAGATTTGCCATACAAAGAAAGAGCGTATGGTAACTGAGCCGATTCCTTACCCTGCTGTAGATGGAGGCTCCTGTTTGCACCAGGAGGTGGATACAGGACTCCAGCTCTCCACTCTGGTGCTGAAGCTTTTTCTGCTGTTCCTCAGTCAACATCTGGCAACCCTGCTCCCGGAGTAGGGCATTGTGGGCTAGAACAGCACAGTGGAGTGGGGTATGCCCTGGAAAACCAAGTATGGGAGAAGATAAAGACGGTCCCAGTGATGCTATTGATGTACAGAGAGGAAGAGAGGGCTGTTTGGGAAACGTATGCATCTCTGCACATCTGTTGTTAAGGTACAAGCCCTTCTCTGATTTAAAAGGTACCATGTTGGCTGTGTAGACACTTTATGGGCCCCTTCATCATGTGCTCAATTCTAATTGTGCATTGAATCACTGCTGAATCATCAGCACTATTGAATTCTGTGGTATTTGAGCACACAGCAACTCTTCCCCGGCCAGTTTCTGAGGCCCCTTTGGCCTCCAAGCACCCCACCAGCTACAACTGAGCATCAGCCAATGAAATAGCCAGTGTTTATTTTTATTTAATACTATCATGAAATATTCATACAAAGGGTTTTACCTTCAAAATCCTTCATTTCTAAATCAAGAGGGAAACCTATTGACAGTATAACCTAGAAGCAAGAGAGAAATGGAAAAGTTTAGTTCAGCAGAATACTGTCCAAGCCAAAATCAGTCAACACTAACAAAATCTAAAACCAAAGAGTCAGATAACTACCATTTACCTACAAAGTAAGATCTTATTTGACACTAGATTTCAGTGCTGTGAATCTATTTCCTAATGTGGACATTCAGGATTACACAAGATGATCATGGTCCCTAGTTTCCTAAACCCCACCTAAGCATAGTATCTAATTAAATTGTCAGTTCAGAGCAGTAAAATCAAGTCACTGCCCCAGCTCAAGAGTGCTAGCCTCCTTGCTTTCACCCTGGGTTAAGCAAAGGCACCAATAACACCAATTCATACTTACTCTGAGTTATTCTTGGCATAATTAAATGAAAATATCTCCTTGACATACACAGCCAAATTTTTAGGTAATAAAGTTCACTGATTTTGGAAACTTTCAGACTGGATTTATTTACTTTTTCTTTTTAATGTTCAGCAGATGAGCAGAAGTGTGACAAGTTAAACCCACAGCTTGTACCAATGGCTGCAGCAATGATGATGCAAACCCTATAAATGGCATGAAATAGTGGTCTGGAGACGAGCATTTCTTGGATTTAGAAGAGAGAAAAATTTTTACAACTCTAATTTAAGAAAATAATAGATTAGATGTAATACAGCCAAGTAGCTCCTTGTATATGTATTACAGATAATGCATTTTTCACTCTTGATGAAATAAAGCTGTTCACATTATTGCATCTCGTCTGAGAATTTCTGCAGTGCCATGACTCATCCAGGACTTTGTGGAGTTAGACCAGGCACAGGACAGAATCCTTCTACTGAAAGATTACCCAGAACGGTTAGGGCTTGTGCTCCCTTTTCATAACAATAATATAATACATACAGATCAAATATTGACAAGTAGTTCTGAGCTGCCTGGTGATTAGAGATTAGATGTTTAATCCACTAGGAAAAAAACCCAATTAGATAAACAAACAAACCATAAAGCATTCCATGGCTTTGACCATGCCGAGGAGCAAGCCTGTGTGCATTTTCCCTTTTATGTAAGGTAAAAAAAACCCCCATGAACCAACAACAAAACCACAACAAAACACAAACCACCACAGGGCACTCTGGGAGCCTTTGTTGGAATCATCTGAATGTAAAACATTCCCCACTGAATGAAACACCTGCTTTCCAAAGAAGTCCCAATGTTATACATTAACTGCCTGCTCATGACTTGAGCCAAGGTGCGCACAAGGCAGAGCAAATGAATACCAGAGATGGACGGCCAACATGCCAGGTACCCCCTGGCACTTCCACTGACACATCCCTCATCCTCAGAGGACCCATGAGCAGATGTAGAGCTATGATCTGCAGAATTTATATTCCCCTCCCCATACACTAAATCAGTTTCCTCTGTAGCAGGAGCTAATGTTAACTGCAAGTATAGTCCTGAAACAGGAATACCCTGGGAAGTCAATTCCTAACACAATGGAAAAGGAGACTTTGGTCAGTCTCCATTGTTTATTGACATCTTGCCTTCTGAGGGAGTTATTGAAAGCCATGAATATTGAGACCTTATTGTAGGTTTATATTGCTAGCAATTGAAAGCATAAAAGCTTTTCCCACCTGAAGAACTTGGGCATAGCCATATGTTGCAGCAAGATGTAAAGCTGACTGCCCTTTGTTGTCTACAGCATTGACATCTGCTCCTGTCTGGATCAAATCATAGACAATAGCTGGCTGCCTGGCAGTGACAGCCACCAGCAGAGGAGTCTGAAAAAAGTAGCACAGCAGATAAAATGTGAGTCTAGAAACAGATGCTATCATAGAACAAGGAAAAGGGAAAGGCAGTCTGGGCTGAATGGTATCTAGAAACCCAAGGGTTGTGGTGCATAAAACAAAGACAGCTCACAAGCGAATTTTGAATCCCACATATTAGGACCCATGGTGTCATGAGATCAAGGGCATTTCCCAGGCCCCTTTAGTGCTTTTTGGCCATAATATGGATGACAACCCAGACCCAGCATTTTTGAAACACTGTTTATGTCAGATGCAGCACTCCTAGCTATAAATCTGTTCATAAAACCTTCAGCCTCAGAGACTACTGCCAACATATACATATTTACCTGGACCAGGTTGGTCTCAGATCACTCTCTGAACTATGAGCTGAAAGAAGAAGCAGCTCATTCTCACGCCACCTAATTTTAGGATTGTACCAGAGGCACCAAAGCAAGTATTATCACTGCCCAAGGCTCCCTTTGCAGTAACAGAGAGACAGCTAGATTTTTCAGAGCATCAGTTGCTCTCAGTCATGCAAAGCCCATGCCCATCCCAAACATGGCTGTTTGCAGGAGAAAGTGTTCCGCATTACCTTTCCTCTGTGTTCCTTGACATCAAGTCTTCGCAGCAATTTCATGCGCTCTGCAGCTGCCAATGTATACGCCCTCATACCTTTAGCTGCATAAATATGTAGAATTCTAAGATAGTAAATAAAGACAGCGATCACTGCTTGGCCATGAACCACCCTGGGAGCAAACAGTTTTTACAGGGTAGCATAGCTACTTTTGGGGTTTTATACCCAGTGTTTCACAAACCCATGCTATAAGCCCCAAAGTTCTTGATCTTGAAAGCACCTGTTCCCATGGAAAAGGCTTCCTACCTCAAAATAACTGCAGTGTTCAAGAGCCCTCAGCACTCCTGAGCTTTGTCATGCTGCCTCCTTTCCACTTCAGCACTTTCTTTCAGGTGAGATCTGCTGTTGTGCAGGGAGGTATCCAAGTACTCCACAAAGCCTAGTGTTGGGGCCCAGTGTACCATATCATATGTATGTATTGCTTATTGGGGTGGTATGTGCTTGTGTGCATTGGTGATATTTCACCATCTAGGGTAGTAAAGAGCCTCTTCTAAATGGTGTATTTGTGAACAGCCTGTTAAGCTCTACTTCTTTACCAAAACTTCTGGTTAGAGGGACCAAGTCCTTATCATGTGCGTAAGACAAGGAGTTGTCACTATCCATGGCTTGCTGCTGACATGGCCCTTAGTGATGGGAAAACATTTTACTGCTTCTCTTTTATTGCCTAGCTCTATGGCTGGAGCTGGAGAGAATTATACATAGCCACTTGACACTTCCATTCCCCCAGGTCCTAATTGTATAAACAGGTAGCTTTGCAATTCCCATCCTAAAGGCAGTTGAGCCAGTCCCTGAGTTTGTTTCACTCCAGACAGTAACATTTGGTATTTTTCAGTCAGAAGGTGGTAGGCAGTAGCTCTTTTCCTCAGGTAACTTTGTACTCCAGAGTCACACCTTGCAATTTCAGGAAGTAGAAATGCAACTTTATGGCTAGTCTCATTTTCAGTCAAGCTGACCATTAGCTGTGGCTGCACACCCAAACACCCCCAAATATGCTAATAGAGGATAATAGTGATTGGACTAACATCTGAACTGAAGGAATGCTTCTGTGAGTAAGGACCACTTGAGTAAACAGTGCCTTCAGACCATGTTTGGATCATAGAGCTCCTACTTTGTCTGCCTTAATGTGCAAAATTAACAGAAAGTCTAGCAGCTAACCTGTGCTTCTAGCCTTTACACATGTTATTGAGGCTAATTGATTGCTAAACCAGTTCTGGGTTACCCTTTTGGATTGGAAATAAAACACTCTAGGCATATGAAAGTTACTGTAGATCTTTATTGAAAAAGATTTTGTCTCTCTAGCCAGAACAACCCAGAAAGAAATTCTGAAACAGTTCATCATTGTTTTATATTCACACACAGAATTTACATACATTGGAGTGAAAGAAATTTAAAAGCAATCTTAGCAACCACAGGCTTGATTCACAACTGCATAATCCCAGTTTTACCTACTGAATGTGTCTGCACTTATAAAACTGGAGTAAGCAGTGGTGAACTAAGCTCCTTCTAGTTAATTTCTTTGCTGGGTTTTTCTGCAAATGTAAGCCACTAATTTCAATGCACCTGAACTACTGCTATTTTCAAACAACTTTATGATCACTTACATGATCTATAGTTTATATCTTCCAAATTTGTCAATATTAAATAACAAAACATGCTTTGAAAGTCCTCAAGACTTTCAACCTGAGCTTGCAAACCTCACTCAGGCATAAACAGTAAGGTCACTTGACATATTGCCTGGGTGGCAACAGGAGTGCTGGACACCAGGTAATAAAGAGTGCAATAAATTATCTTGCAGTTAGTCTAGCAAACAATAAAATCAGCTAAGGATCCTGGGCTTTAGAAAGCAGAAAAACCCAGAGAAATTGTGGTCACAATCCAAGAGATCCTTGTTTATTAAGAAAACAATAAACAGAGTTCAAAGGGGATATCTCCTGCAGATATATTTGCCTGTGGCATGGCACTCCTGAACATCAGCAGTAATATTTACAGTTGCAATAGAGGAAAAAGTAAAGCTACTCATTTTCCAGGAAAGAAAATCAGAAAGCTATAAAGAAAATGTGTGGGCCTGTGATATTATAGCACAGAGAATCATTCCATAGCAGTAGGGCACAAGAGCGATCACTGAAGTTCCCAGGCTCAGCATGACATCACTGACTCCACACTCAAATGCTACAGAACAAGTCATACCTTTGTGCGAACTCAAGTGTTTTATCTAAGCTACTTCATGTTGCTCTCTAAATAGGGATGTCTGACTGCACTGACGTTTAGTTCAGCTGTATTGACGTTCTGTCTTCAGACTAATGCACCTACCTGCACCAGCAGACCAAAACTACACTTTACGTATTTCTATTTTCCAAAGGAGTAGTTCAATTTAGTAAAGAAAAACATCAACTTAGACCCCAAAAATGTTTTCTAGTGGCCCAGGTCAGGTAGAGGTTCCTCCACAGACAGGGAGGAACACACACACAAGGCATTTTCACTGAGCTCTGAAAAGCAGCCCGAGTGAACTAGGTCTTGTCAATATTTAGAGGTAAGCGTACCTTCAACAAATGCTACAGTTTGCCATGGCTACACTATAGTACTTCAATTTGAGACCATGCCCTATGTCTGAGGATGAAAGTCACTTTGTGCTGACGGTGGGCACAAGAATTACACAATATCAAAAGTCTGCCTGGGAGAGGTAGCAGGAACTGTAACAGCAGAGAAATCTTGTGCTGGGCCTCAGGACAAAGCAAGTTTCACACAACACACAAGTCATGGTGTGCTAAAGGTGGATTCCAAAATTGCAAGTAAACTTCCCACCCCCAAGCCTGCTTTTCCTCTGTACTCAAAACTCACTGTGGTGCCAGGTGGAGTATTGAGTAGGTGAGGATCAGGCCTCAGATGCACAACTTAAAGCCCTTCAACAGAGAGAGCATGGTTTAAAACATACGTATCATTGTCTTCATCTTCTAGAAGTAGCTTCTCAATGGGCAGTGTGCCGATGACTCGTCTGGCATCCTCCAGCTCTTGCGGGGCTGGTTCAGGAATGGAGATGGGCAAGGGCACAAACTGTGGCCCAGAAAGCGTGGAAGAAGCTGGCTGGTACTGCAAAGTGGAGGCTGGCAGTGCAGAGAGGGGCTGTGCCCATGGGAAGTATGTGAGAGGCGGCTGCTGATCCGTCATCTCAAGCGGAGGCACTACAGCAGGGGTAGTACTTCGCGGCTGTTAAAATGGAAGAGAAAGAAAACAAAATAAACCAATTGACCATGTGGGGCAGAGGGAGGACACAAACCCAGAGACTAAGGATGCTCAGTCTCACTTTTTACAGTCCTTTTCCTGTCTTTCTGCGTAAAGCGTTATACTGAGTGTGAGTTTTCCCACGCGGGCTCCCATGAGAGTGATGACTTGTGGGTGTGCCAGGTGCTTGCTGCCAGTAGCTCACACTCATGTTAAGTTCCCTCTAGCTTTCTGTTCCCACTCCCACTCTCACTGTAAACCCATGAGACAGTTACACCCAATGCCCTCTTTGACAGTCTCTCTCGCAAGTTGAACACATGAGCACAACTTTGCTGCCATGAAGCTGAAGGCAGCTTATTCTGGCCTCTGCCAATAGTCTATCCTGACCAGGCCCTGTTAGCCAAGGCAAAGCCATATTTGAAATGATAGCCCTTCCTCACCAGAGAAGGCACAGGACACAGGCATGCATCTTGGCCGATTTGGTGTCAGATGCAACCACTGAACTGAAATATTGAAAGGAAAATAAGCTGCTTGAGTTCAACTGAAACAGAATTCCTTGCCCTTATCCTCTAAGGAAGAGAAAATCGTCTTGGGTCAGCCAAACAGATTTTGTCCAGCCTGAAACCAAATATTCTGCTATGATGACATGCTATTTTGGTCTTGTTTGGAACTAAATCATGATACTGCTGGATACCCTGGATACTGCTTAGAACTCCAGTAGGACTGTGTTTTAAGTACTTGTCCAGACAACAGCATTTATTGACTATAATGTGCATCCACTCACAGTGGACTACTTTAATTCTGCTTCCTCAGCTATTCCAAATCCAAGTGGAAGAACAGCTCCTCAAGTTGGAAGTGATGTCAAGAGTACATTTAACATTCCCCATTATTATCCTTGAGCTGCAAACAGTTTTCTCCTACTGTAAATAACTGTTAACACATTTGAACAAACTCAGGGCAATGCTAGCCCTGCTGCTGACTTGATGAGAGATGACTCATTTCCCAGGACAACAGCAAAAACCAGTGAATGTGTTAATAACATGGAAAGTCTGGAGGAGTGCAGAGGGCCAGGGAAATAGCAGTGAAGTATGCCCAATTTCAGCGCAACCACAACTTTTTGTCCTGCTCAAACCACACTAATGTCCACAGCGCAGACAGAGCCAGTGCTAGAACAACTGTGTAGCATGGATGCAAAGACATGTAACATTATAGTAAGTTAATAAATTACACTAATTACATGTGGCAGTCCCCATGGCTCCCACTAGAAGGCGGGGAATTTGCTGTCATTTGTACCCAGGTATATTAGACTTACTGCAAAATTGGTGATCAATGGTTGAGAAGTATAAGTCAGAACAGATGAAGGTCCAACCAGTGTGTAACTGGGACACATAGGCTGAACATACATATCTGCTGTGTATGGACAGCCAACTGTTTCGTGGGGCATATAATCAGGGTAAGTGGTCCACTGAGTTAAAGGCTGTAAGGATGAGGGAGATGGCTGGGAGATCCAGCCAGAACAGATTGGTCCTTCATCTGCGACAGGCAACGCAGAGGCAGCAACATCCATATCAATGCAAGGCTGGCCTGGAAAAACAGAAGAGGATTAAAACCCTGTTCAGCATAGCCTTCCCTGCAGCAGGGCTGACAAACACTTAGAAAGTCGGGGAAACATTACCCATTGGTGAATAGGAAGGAAGAGGCTGGTGGGGCAAAACAACCTAGAAGAGAGAAAAAAAGTATTCAGAGATTAAGACCATAAGCATTAAATTCAATCCCCTCTGAGAAGCACCGAGTGACAAAGCGTATTAGCTATTAATAGCTGATTATCAGCTACTACTTCAGTGCCAGTGCCTGAATATCTGCCTGTATAGAATTTAAGCCTTACGTTGCAGAGGGAATTCTTCTTCAGAGACGAAGCAGTCAATCTGCTTCCTGGTAGGCAGATAGAGGCAGGCTGAAACTACGAAGCAGACAGCCAAGGATGGCTCTGTCTTCTCTCTTTTTGTGCTCTCAAACAAGCTGCTTCTAAGCTGCTTTCTGTTCTAGGAGTTAGATTCTGCCAAGTGCAAAACACTTTTACCCTTCCATTAGGTCAATGCTAATCAAAGGTGTTCAGCCCCCTAAAGGCACTCCACCTAAACTAAAAATGCATTTAATGGTATCTCCAAGTAACATGAGGCTGCACTGCCTTCAAAATGCTTTAGAGATGCAAAGATTTCTTTCATTACCAAGATATTGCCAGCTTGTGCCAGAGCTGCTCAATCATTTAGTGACTGAGGAAGAGCTTTCTGCCCGTGTTTGTTCTCCTACCGTTGTAGTTGCTGTTGCACTGGCATTATGAACATTTCCCCGTTTCCTTTTCAAAAGCTCCTTCACTGGCTCTTTGACACGGACACCTTGATAGGGGCGAGGTTGTGGCTGCTGTTCTGGAGCAGAAGCTGAGAACAAAAATACAAATACAGGTGACATCTATTTTCCTTTCTTGCCATTTATAGAAGCCCAAAATGCTTCTGGCAACCTGCTTGCCTGTGGGCTGCATTAGTCAAGGTGGCTGGAGTCTGAGTTCATGAACATTTTATTCCTTAACTAATGATGTCTTTTGGCCCATACATGACATCAGACAGCATAGGCCTTCTCTCTGCCATTGCTGCTTGAATGCTGTGATCACACAGATGAATCATGAGACAACCTAACGTCAAATATGTATGCTTGCAGTTCCCTCCAGTCACTAATCTTC